GCTGATGATGTCGGTAACTCTGCAGATTCCGCAGGCAAACTCCAAGAACAAATATATTACGTTAGCAACTTTTGTGAAAAATGGGGTATAAACCTAAATATACAAAAATCGAAGAAATGGTGGATAACTACAGCAGTATTAAAAATGGTATTACAGGGGCTCTCAGATCGAAACCGTCTCCTTCTAGAAATATCTTGGTCTATATTTTACACCTAAACTAGTTTGGACGAGATCGAAACAGGTGTTGGCAAAGCAGGCGGAGAAAGTATGCTTAATCATATACAGATTGCACTCTATGTGTGGTGGCTTACCAATTACGACTGCACTAAAGATTTTTGATAGCATGGTTCTGCCCATTCTAACATACGGCTCCGAACTTTGGGGATACGAAATCGTGGATCAGATAACTCCCCAGGTTCAAATGACTCCCCCATTTGTTTTCAAGAATACAAATGTTTTGACACTAATTGTGCAACAGTCTGTCGTACACAAATAATATATTTTCGATGATACAGCACAGTATTTTCGATAATAGCACCGCATTTAGTTTTTGCATAATAAGATTTTATGTGATGGATTTTAAGGACATTATCATGTCATTTCGTTTAAACTTTTTAAATACTGTTACACATCAGCATCTTTATTTTCTGACATACTGGCTGGATATGGATATGGCAATCTACTAAATCATTTAAAAAGACCAACTCGTCTTCTACAGGTATCAAAGTCAGTTGCACTGAATGGCATAATTACTTTAAACAGTTACTGAATACAGGTCGATTATTATAGATAAAGTTATTAACATTTATTCGAGCATGATTCACATTGTAACAATTGCAATAAAGGACTACCTGATCAACTTAATAGAGACATAACCTTTCAGGAAGTTAAATGCCATAAAGCTGCAGGTTGCGATGGAATTCCATCGGAATTATTTAAAACATTCCTCATTTCAATTGTTTAATGAAATAATGAAAACTTGGAATTTCCCGATTGATTGGTGCAAGGCAATCATATGCCCTCTTCATAAAAAAAGGCACTTTATCTGATCCAAACAACTATAGAGGAATCTCTCTATTACCAGTGATTGGAAAGGTTTTCACCAAAATATTAAACCAAAGACTCCAAAATTGGTCTCATGAAAATGATGTTATTTATGAAAATCAAGCTGGATTCAGGAAAGGTTATTCGACGGTGGACAACATGTTTTCTCTTTATGGGATGATTAAAAAATACCTCTCTAAATCAACAGGTGGCAGATTATATGTTTTCTTCATAGACTTCTCAAAAGCCTTTGATTGCGTAAATCACACTTTACTTTGACATCGACTTATTAGCTGTGGAATAGATGGAAATATTTTAACTGTTTTAAGAAATATGTATTCAAAACTACAGACTTGTGTACAGACAGATCAAGGTCTCACAGACTTTTTTCAGTGCTTGGTTGGTACTCGCCAAGGATGTATGGTCAGCCCGCTGTTATTTTCATTTTACATCAACGAATTGGTTACTGAGATGGCTTCTTCAAACTGTAGAGGCATTTTCATATCTGGATATTATCCTAATATATGTTCACTTCTCTATGCTGATGATGTCGGTAACTCTGCAGATTCCGCAGGCAAACTCCAAGAACAAATATATTACGTTAGCAACTTTTGTGAAAAATGGGGTATAAACCTAAATATACAAAAATCGAAGAAATGGTGGATAACTACAGCAGTATGAAAAATGGTATTACAGGGGCTCTCAGATCGAAACCGTCTCCTTCTAGAAATATCTTGGTCTATATTTTACACCTAAACTAGTTTGGACGAGATCGAAACAGGTGTTGGCAAAGCAGGCGGAGAAAGTATGCTTAATCATATACAGATTGCACTCTATGTGTGGTGGCTTACCAATTACGACTGCACTAAAGATTTTTGATAGCATGGTTCTGCCCATTCTAACATACGGCTCCGAACTTTGGGGATACGAAATCGTGGATCAGATAACTCCCCAGGTTCAAATGACTCCCCCATTTGTTTTCAAGAATACAAATGTTTTGACACTAATTGTGCAACAGTCTGTCGTACACAAATAATATATTTTCGATGATACAGCACAGTATTTTCGATAATAGCACCGCATTTAGTTTTTGCATAATAAGATTTTATGTGATGGATTTTAAGGACATTATCATGACATTTCGTTTAAACTTTTTAAATACTGTTACACATCAGCATCTTTATTTTCTGACATACTGGCTGGATATGGATATGGCAATCTACTAAATCATTTAAAAAGACCAATTCGTCTTCTACAGGTATCAAAGTCAGTGGCACTGAATGGCATAATTACTTTAAACAGTTACTGAATACAGGTCGATTATTATAGATAAAGTTATTAACATTTATTCGAGCATGATTCACATTGTAACAATTGCAATAAAGGACTACCTGATCAACTTAATAGAGACATAACCTTTCAGGAAGTTAAATGCCATAAAGCTGCAGGTTGCGATGGAATTCCATCGGAATTATTTAAAACATTCCTCATTTCAATTGTTTAATGAAATAATGAAAACTTGGAATTTCCCGATTGATTGGTGCAAGGCAATCATATGCCCTCTTCATAAAAAAAGGCACTTTATCTGATCCAAACAACTATAGAGGAATCTCTCTATTACCAGTGATTGGAAAGGTTTTCACCAAAATATTAAACCAAAGACTCCAAAATTGGTCTCATGAAAATGATGTTATTTATGAAAATCAAGCTGGATTCAGGAAAGGTTATTCGACGGTGGACAACATGTTTTCTCTTTATGGGATGATTAAAAAATACCTCTCTAAATCAACAGGTGGCAGATTATATGTTTTCTTCATAGACTTCTCAAAAGCCTTTGATTGCGTAAATCACACTTTACTTTGACATCGACTTATTAGCTGTGGAATAGATGGAAATATTTTAACTGTTTTAAGAAATATGTATTCAAAACTACAGACTTGTGTACAGACAGATCAAGGTCTCACAGACTTTTTTCAGTGCTTGGTTGGTACTCGCCAAGGATGTATGGTCAGCCCGCTGTTATTTTCATTTTACATCAACGAATTGGTTACTGAGATGGCTTCTTCAAACTGTAGAGGCATTTTCATATCTGGATATTATCCTAATATATGTTCACTTCTCTATGCTGATGATGTCGGTAACTCTGCAGATTCCGCAGGCAAACTCCAAGAACAAATATATTACGTTAGCAACTTTTGTGAAAAATGGGGTATAAACCTAAATATACAAAAATCGAAGAAATGGTGGATAACTACAGCAGTATGAAAAATGGTATTACAGGGGCTCTCAGATCGAAACCGTCTCCTTCTAGAAATATCTTGGTCTATATTTTACACCTAAACTAGTTTGGACGAGATCGAAACAGGTGTTGGCAAAGCAGGCGGAGAAAGTATGCTTAATCATATACAGATTGCACTCTATGTGTGGTGGCTTACCAATTACGACTGCACTAAAGATTTTTGATAGCATGGTTCTGCCCATTCTAACATACGGCTCCGAACTTTGGGGATACGAAATCGTGGATCAGATAACTCCCCAGGTTCAAATGACTCCCCCATTTGTTTTCAAGAATACAAATGTTTTGACACTAATTGTGCAACAGTCTGTCGTACACAAATAATATATTTTCGATGATACAGCACAGTATTTTCGATAATAGCACCGCATTTAGTTTTTGCATAATAAGATTTTATGTGATGGATTTTAAGGACATTATCATGTCATTTCGTTTAAACTTTTTAAATACTGTTACACATCAGCATCTTTATTTTCTGACATACTGGCTGGATATGATGTGATATTGACGCTTTACTGCAATATTGTTTTAACTTAGGAAAGATTTGTATTCATTATTCTGTTTGATTTACTAACTTTGAGTTTTCAAATAATACTGCATCTGATGTTTGATTGTAATGGCTGTAATATTTTTAAGAAAGATAATTATATTGGCACCTTGACCTGTTTGACAATCTTATTTCTTCATGTAATATGTTGATATGCATGCACGATCATTATGAAACAAAATTAATGGAAATCTATATTTTTCAAACACATGAAAACTATTACTTTACCTAATGTGATATGATAATAAGTTTCCTTTTTGAAGTTTGTGTACGAAGTCATTGCGCGGTCATTGTTTTATTGGGTAATAGGTGGTTGATACACTTATGTCTCTTTATACACGAAAACTAATGGTCTTGTATTAATGTTACCTATTATTTTTAATGCAGCGATTCACCAATTACAATTCATTATATCTCGGTAACTGCGCATTATAAACTGAGTAAATAACATCAGATATATTTACCTACCTAATAAGCTGTACAACGTGGCATTTGATGTTTGTGAATCAAACTTTACCGAGTTTCATATAATACAAATGTGTGTCTAAGATTTTAAAAGGAAGTGTGAGTGGATAGTCTGTTTGACAGATCTAACAAATGGTAGTTATAATCTCACAACCACTATGAGTAGTTTGAGCCTGATACTCAAGAATCGGATATAGAAACTGGGAGTCGTTTGAGCCTGATATTCATGAATCGGATATAGAACAGGGGGAGTAGTTTGAGCCTGATACTCAAGAATCGGATATAGAACGAGGGGAGTAGTTTGAGCCTGATACTCAACTGATACCAGTTAATTGCTCATTATGTTGTCCTAACTATTAACTATGAAATGGAATAAGTAGATTTTGTTTAAATGTATGTTTGTTGCCTATTTAATATCATATAAAACAAACATTCCTGCATTTTGCCTGAGAACCTCTCTGTCTGTTTTTGAAGGCGTGGAGATCCCGGAGTTAATTCCCCGCAACAATTTTAGTTATAAAACAGACTGTTTCAATAGTAACGCTTTTCTGTTTCAGGGTCTAGAGAGTGATGTCTGTCACAGTACATGCTTGTCTGTTTCCGGGTTCAGATAGATGCCTATCACCATAGAACACTTGCCTGTTTCAGGGTCCGGAGTGCTGCAGTCAGTTATCCATCAGCTTCCATTACGTCTCGTACCACCTGATGTACATCATCGACATCCTCCTCTACAGGATCACCGTCTACGGCAACTACGACCCCCCAATAGGAGACTTTGAGGATATGTTTTTCAAAAGAGTATCAGAAATACAACATAAAACCAAAGATGAGGTTTTCGCAAATTATATTCCAGAGGATATTCCAGACTTCGTACCACAAGAACTTGAATAATCCAAGCCAAAAGAGTAACCAGTTTGAACAGTATTGTAGTTATATCATGGCGTATCAGAATGAAGTAGGAAGAAAAACAAAGGTGACTTCGGTGGAAGCGTCGTCAATACTTCATGGATTTGAACACCCTACGTTCCTTCATCCCCGGTGTATTCATAAGGCTGCTATTCCCTATAACAATGATGCGTGTCAATTCTATTCAGGTAATGAAATGGGGATATGTGTAACTCATTGAATTCCCTATAACAATGATGCATGTCAATTCTATTCAGGTAATGAAATGGGGATATGTGTAACTCATTGAAGTTAAATGAACCCCAATTACGTGCATAATAACTATTATGGCTGGGCCGAGTCAAGAATTACTACCCGGGTACCCACCCCCTACTACCCGACCCTCCCCGGATACACACTGTAGGCCTCAAGAGATAGGTACAAAATGTCCGATTGGGAATCTTTTTACTATAACCCTGGCAAAACTTATTGAGACACATGAATTAAACATTCTGGTCATGCATACACTGAAGTTGACTTAAGTTATATCTTTATTCAACCATATTAAAAGTCAGATGGAATGGGTGCATATTTTTTGTCATTAAACAATGTTCTGTGGGTACCCGGGTCCTACTCAGTAGCCACCCAAATAAAATAACATATTGTAGGCTTCTTGGGGGTCCTCATGATATTGATAATATTTTACACCAGTATCCAACACTATGAACAAGTGAGTTTATATACATTGGATATCGGCCACATTCACCATAAACTATAGCATTTGGTATATGTGGTCCTTTTTGTAAGAAGTTTTTATAAGCCAGTAAGTGTATTGTCTCTGCGCTCTCAGATCTATTGATCCCCCAAATTTCAGATGATTTCAAAAGAATCGGACTAATCTGACAATCAAATAAGGTTGAGAACACTTTGGGGGCAGTAGTTGATATTGTTCTTGTTGTCGTAAGTAACTCAAATGAAGCCTTTTTGGCACGTAGGACTAGATCAGCAACATATTAACTGAGGCTATACTTACAAGTGAAGACTAATCCTATATATCGATAAGTATTAACAACCTCTAAAACTTGACCTCTATAACACCAAACTTTAGCTTTAACTGATACGTTTCCTCCTCTTCTAAACACAATAACATTTGATCTGTGCAAGTTAACAGTCATTCCCCACTTATCTGCATGTGTATCTTAAATATTTATCTGACGCTGTAAACCACATATAGTATCAGAAACGACAATTACATCATCAGCAAATAACAACATTAATACTTCTACTATATCTGGAAAGAGTAGAATCCCATGAGTTCCATTTGCCGTAACATCTGTAGCTAATTCTTTTATTAATAATGTGAATAGCACAGGGATCAGCATACATCCTTGTCTTAAAGCCTTTGCCCTATTTTCTGTTGGCACTCACGTTGCCAGTATCTACAGGTACTCTTGTATTTGTTTCTCAACTTAAAATATTGTATTCTGCTTGAAGAACACTTGTCATTTTTTAAGTGTATTGAACTACGCTTGGCTTCCATCTATGCTATGTGACAGTCCGGTCCATAAAAATCAAACTTTCTGGAATTAATGACAACTTTCTTGTTAATACATTGCGCTGATCTATATATACAACTGACAAACATGTCTAAAGCTTCATTAACTTCTCTCTCTATATATAATATTAACAAAGTCTGTAACATAGTGTTTTAGGGCCATCATGGTGGCTATAAAAGTGTCAGCATGCAACTTATTCCAGCCATACTTTACAGGACATGGTATGTTTTCTACTGGTATGATATCCTTTACAATATCTTTGAAATATAAGACTACGGGCATATGCTTGCTCTCAATTCTGTTATCTACTGTTATGTTTTTGTAGTAGCTAAAAAGTTCAACAGAGGAAATGAAATAATCCATGCCACTACATCCTTGTTCAGAGATGTAAGTTAAAGAACCACCACTATCTCCGGCAACACGACTACTGAGTATATCTAATCTAAATATAAAGCAAAAATTTAAAAGTAAATTGACAAATCTATTTACACAACCATGACATGAATATTTCTCACGGGCTCATCTTCTGGAGCTCGGGCTCATCTTGAAAAAAAATCTCTGATCGCTTCATTATGTACAAAAACAGGAGGCTGATTTCCACAGCCGACTCCGGCGTTAAAATCCCCCACAACTGAATATGAGCGTCTGCATCAATGCTTTGACTATCATACAACCACTGCTCTAAACGTTCTAATAACATCGGGTCCCTTGTAACACTATCCTATGTCGACCAACAAGAAGGAGCATGCGCTACTATCAGTAGGAGATCTTTATCTATATCATCGTGCAATAAGGCATGATTGACTTCTTAACACAAGCGCATATACCCCCCCCCCCCCCCCCCCCCCCCCCCCCCTCGACAGTCGACCGAACTTTGGCAAGTTTGATTCCATTGCTGGAAAAGAGTAGTTCAGGGATAGCTACATACTTGTCTACATACGTTTCTAATAAACATGTCACGTGTCCTAGTTTACTTCGCAGTGTACATACTGATGACAAAACAATTTGACTTCACTGTATTATCTATTTGAGTCCAATGTATTAATGACTTGTCCCGGTGTCACGAAATATATTCGTCCCCAGAATAAAATCTCCCCCCGGCGAATTTATACAGGTACAGTTCCGCCCCTCTCGAAATTAACTCTCCCCCACCCTACGAAATAAAATCTCCCCCCAGAATATTTCCTCCCCCGGTCGTTTCATAAATACTTGCCATGCAGTTGCCAATAGTTTTAATGTTAATTTGCTTATGTGTTTTTTTATTCATTTTTTTATCTCCTTTATTTTTTCTGAGTTATACATTTAGTTACTTGTGTGTGTGTGTATGTGTGGGTGTGGAAGGGGGGGGGGGGGGGGGGGGGGGGGAGTCCACCTTTCCTTTCGTTTTTCATAATAATATATTTTTAAGTTGTATATAACGTATGAATTCCTTCTCAGATTACTTTATCTCAGTTCTATATGACGTACTATTTTACTTCTCTGTGTCGTTCTTGTTTTCTCTTCAGTGTGAGGTTAAACTGTATAATTTTTCCTATTTTGATATTTTGCAATATGTTGTGGTCATCAGTTATGCAAATCAGTTTCGGTGTGTCTTTTTAACAAGATGTTCTTCATTAATATTCACCGCCAGCCCCATTGTAACAATTACATGTACACTTTGCTTTGACGATGCCGGTTGATGTTGTTCAATACAGGTGTTTTTGAATCTATTCTACATGCTAATCATTTCGGGAAGATGATACACATTTCTCTATATTTTGGATTACTTTGCTTATAAAGATTATACATATAAACGTACGCAGTCTTAGTAGATTTTAAAGTAGATTTAATCAGTGCTGAATTAGATAGTTATGATGTTGTATGTTTAACAGAAACCTGGCTGCACCATGATATTCTAGCCACTGGTATTACACTGGTACCATTTTCAAATCGTAGCCTGTGTTAAAGAATATATTTTCGATTTTAAATCAGAGTATAACGGCGTGGATATGTTGACAGTTTTTACGTAGTTAGTGTTAAAACCGAATGTTTGTGAGGATTAATAAGATTTCTGAAATCAGTAACATCAGTAGTTCCGGTGTCACGAAATATATTCGCCCCCAGAATATTCTCCGTCCTCTACTCACATGTAACATCATCCCCAATTTGATGGTACGCGTGCGACGCTTTTGTCATAGCAGATAAAAGTTCAGGAACAAAAGAAATGCATTTCTTCTGAGATTAACTAATCATCCTCGCTGTATTGTAATAAGAAGACATCGTTATCACTTACCATAGAGCTCAACAGAATTGTGTTTGTTAGAATCAAGTATACTTTATAAACATGCACATATTCATGCAGTTTCTCAGGAAACTTGTCCTTGAAGACAGGAAGCACCAAATCTGAAAACTTGTAGCAAGGGACGTAATTCTTGTAAAAATAGTTTATTACACCACATGTCGTGTTGTGTACCATGGATGGATCCCTGTGTCAAAAACACAATCATGGTGAAGACGGTAATAAACATCTTCCCGAGGCAAGAGAGTTAACTGACTTTAAAAGTCCAGTTTCCACCCTTGCCGAACTAGGCTGGAATTCTTGGGCTCGATCGTAGCGCCACCAGTGGCTATTACGAGTAATGTCCTTTCTATGCCTCTCCTATTGACCAATCAGATTCAACCTCTCGTATCACTTGCATTTGCCTCAAACAAAACGGTGGCGCCCAGTCAAGACGATCTGATTGATAATCAAGATCTATATTGTGAGTCTTACATCGCGAAGTGCATCATATCACGTGAGCACCTTGATTAAAAGCATGAAAAGATTTAGAAAATATCTGTTGACAACGAGTTAGCGGTGCACATGCTTTGCAAATCCTGCAGTCGACCGAAATCTGCATGAAACTTTACGAACCGGATTTCGATTTCGGTGCGCGATTTTGATTTGACTATGCATAGACTCGTAAGTCCAGCCAAAATGTAACTCCATAATACCAGCCTAGTTCGGCAAGGGTGGAACTGGACATTTATAGCCAGTTAACTCACTTGCATCGGGAAGATAGTAATAAAAGGATCGAGCCACTCCATCATGTTGCTTAAGATACTGTGTTTGTGCCAAATTCTGATTATCCGCTGACAATGTGTTAAACTCATTGCATATTATTATTATTATTATTATTATTATTATTATTATTATTATAATGTACAGATTAAAATAAAAAATGCAGCAGTTTGGGTGATCTTTGCACAGTTGGTTAGGCTCATCATCAGCTCAGGGCCCTTGCCCCCTCTACACGCAGCCCAGACAGCGAATGGGACTTCTCCCAGGAAGCGCTGTCTAGTCAAACCCACCCAAAACTTTTCGGAGAATGTGAAGACTCCCCAACACTGCAGCCTTCTGCATTACCCAGATTGTTAGAAGGGCGGTATTACCGGTAGCAAACCCGGGTAATCTCCCAATGTCAGTCAACATATTGGGAGGTACCAAACCTAAGGCACCGAGAACAATGGGGAGTCGGAAAACTTGGTACTTGGAATGCAAGCGTGACATTTCGAAAGCGAGGTCCGCATATTTGCCATGTATTTTCCGCATGCAACCATGTTCTATACTGACATCCTGTCTGTGCATGCACCAATATAAACAGCTGACAACCTGCGTGTGTACATGTACCACTATACACGTAATGTATTGAGACCCATTGTGTACGTGTACCAATATTTACGCGAGCAATTTTATACGAGCACCTGGTGTGTTTATATTTAACACTATGGATATCTACGTTGTAAGATGACACGCTGCATGTACATGTAACTATATCGAGGCTTGGTCATGTGTTCTCGGATGCCGAAGTCATACTATATCAACTGATGATCATTATACTGAGACCCGTGAAGATCCGGGTTAGAATAGGTCTTCAGCAAACCATGCTTGCCGTAAAAGGCGAATATGCTTGTCGTAAGAGGCGACTAACGGGATCGGGTGGTCGTGCTCGCTGACTTGGTTGATGCATGCCATCGTATCCCAATTGCGTGGATCGATGCTCATGATGTCAATCACTGGATTGTCTGGTCCAGACTCGATTATTTATAGACCGCCGTCATCTAGGTTGAATATTGCTGAGTGCGGCATTAAACAAGAAATAAACAAAATCATTATCCTGTGTTCTGTACCTTCCTGAGTCTTGTTGGCGACTCAAACATGAATTTCTACAGAGAAGATGTTGATGGACAATAATTGGGTGGTACCAGATTAGTGACGTCAGAGTTCAAATGCATTGTGAGAAAAATCTGGAAGTAAAATCTAGATATGTTGTCAACAAGAATGAGTTAAAGAAGGCAGTCTGGAGTTACGATTTCATTCTCTTATTCAGAACTTTGAAAACTTTGCGAAAAAATCCAATAGTTCTTTTTGACTATCATTTTATGTAGGACCTTCTCTCTGTTAACCACAGCATGTTTTGCTATCGTGTCTCATATTTGCAGTTTCCCTTGAAGCATCGGCATACATCACTGCGAAGGATGCGACGTTAATAGTTACGTCTGCGGAGGTTTTCAATCATTACTCCTGGCCAGGTAAAAAAATCATTGCTGGCAATGAGGATATTGGAACTTTCCTTGTCCGGCAATCAAAGTCTATTTTGACAAAGCCAATTTGTGGTGAGGTCAGGTGACATGGGGTTTAATATTAGTTCACTTAAATGGCGAACAGCCGTTCAGAGACGGCTTATTCAGTGGCGGTCTATGCCGATGCTTGTTTGTCTGCTCCCAGGTTTTATTCATCATCAATGTTAATGTTATATGTTATATTGGTCACGTGACTCGGCCGTACACGTCAGCTCAATTGTTCATCTGCCCTTGTCACAGCTATTCGTGCGGATTGGTGAGATACCACAAAGGTCAATGATGAATGAGGACAGGACATTGACTTTGTCAGATGTTTGTGTCACTGCACAAGCAGTTTAACATAAATACCCCACTTAGACACAGTATACTGACTCAGAGCCGACTAGTCCTTGTTTTAACCCCTTAATGCCGAGTACGAGGCGTAGTAACAACAAGTGCCATCCTTTAAACGTATTTTGGTATGACGCGGCCGGAGATCGAAACCCCGACCTTCCTTTCTTCGGGGGGACGCTCTACCACTCGATCACTGTAACACAGTGTGCTAGCACTATAAATCGGCATCAGTCCGGAGTAGTAAAAGCACACACACACACACACACACACACACACACACACACACACACACACACACACACACACACACACACACACGCCACCTGCAAGAAGACTCGTCCCCCTATCGATGAATGTTATGTGCGAAAATACGACAAACCAATCAGAATGCGCGTATGATTTCAAGTTCTTCGTCAAAGAATCCATCAGAAATGATTTTATATATGTCTTGCGTCTTAAAATATACCCAAGACACAGTTAAATGTGTTCAATCATACTGTATACTTCCGCATGTCCGATGTGCTGTAACTTGCATCTGAAATATATATAATATATGGGGAAATATATGTGAACCATCACGCAACGAGTTGACAATTGTTTTAGGTATACAAGTTTGCGCTAAGACGGAACCCGGTCGCAAAAATGGTCATGAGAGGGGCACGAGTCGCTATTCGGCTTGTCCCGGAATAACACGAGTTGGTCACGAATGATATATAATGTGTTGAGGCTTTGGAAACGTGCTGAACGTATACGTGCCATAGCCATGTTGCAGGTGGGCGCATATTGTTGCCCAACGCTGCATGTCTCTCAATCTGTCATCAGCAGATTGTGGGGCACCAACAAACACAAAACGTCGATGATCGATGCCGCTCTGGACGCTCAGGCGAAACAAAACAAGCCCAAGACCGATTGTACCATTGCACAACGTGTTGGGCAACGTTTCATCTTCAAGATGATGATGCACGTGCTCATCGTGCCAGGATTGTACCCCAATTCCCCGAACAGCAAAACATCCACGTCATGCCATGGCCAGCACTTGGCCCTGACCTAATCATTACAATATAGGCCCGCTGCACAATTAAGAGACATTACAGCGAATAAGGTGTCTCGCTTGCATTGTGTGTGAATGATGAAGCAACGCACATTGCTTTGATTTTCTGAACAGGCATGAATATAGCAGGGTAATCCTTTTCAAAGACATTTTCACAAATGTAGTTCCAAAAATGGCAAGCAAAATAATTTATTTACACCCTAGGGAATTTTGCTTTGAATCGAAACTACAGGAAAATACACAAATGTCTGGCAATGAAAGTAAGTGATTTGTGTACCAAGAACAAACGTCAATTTCGAATTTGACCCCGATCCCTTTAATGACCTTGTGCGCCATCATGTCATCACAGCAACCATTAGAACCCATTATATCTGATCGCCTACACCACATTAGATGTGATCATGTCAATTCCATTTTCCAATACCATATAGATCAGAATATATTGTTGATGTTTCCCACTATCCCTGGCATAGTACAAAACTCTACATAAACTTATACAATATATCTTGATCACGTTTCGTTACATGTCACGAGAGATGTGAAGTCTGGTCATTCGATTACAATGCTTCATTACGAGGATTACGAAAAGTGTATGGCATAGGGGAGAGTGTGAGTGAGAGAGTTGTGTTTAACGCCGCTTTTAACAATATTCCAGATATATCACGGCGTGTCAGCTTGTGGGAGGAAAGCCCGAAGTGATGAAAGTCTTAGACGTTTACCATGAGCACGGTAATAGTGCTGACAAACCTAGAAACATAATCGGGGCGAACAAGGATTCGAACCCACAATCATAGGTTTCTCGCGTGCCGAAGGGACGCAACTCTGCATAGCGAACTGCACCGCCTTAGACGACTTGCCCACCCGTGCCCCCGGGAGAGTGTGACATAGTGATAACAAATATTAATTTTTTTAAATGAACAGCACACACTGTACAAATAGGCTTCGTGAACAGTACCGTTTATTTCAGCGGAACAATCAACAAGGATTACGTCAACACGTCATTATGGTACGGAACACGTGGGCTGATTCATGTGAGTATCCTACAGATTATCATGACTGGAACAACAACATGAAAGGTGCATAGTTTGCCTAAATCCGAACCAAAGATGCACATTCAGGCATATCACAGGATTTATATGACCCTATATTGTTCGTCGGTGGTAACATGAATAATGTGTAGCCCACGTCATACATAGCTGCCACACAAACAATTTTTAATCCTCATTGAAAATATCTTCATGTGGAGACTCAAATCAGTCAGCCCTTTTTTCATTGACAACTGAACATGTTTAGGAAACATATCGTTAAATTAGTTTTAACCAATAACAAATTAAAGAGGTGATTGAAAATGGATAACACCCTATCACTAACAGTAACTTAGAACAAACAGGAGTTTCATAAACCAGTATCGATGGCCGTTACAGGAACATGTTTACAAGAACTGAGACGAACAGTGACGTCATCGCAAAGGTCACGTGATCCGCGGCACCTGTAGGGATGAAAATGAATGGGCCTTGTCTTAAATGTAACACGTGATACAGGGCAGGTAACAGCCCTTGCTAAGCAATATCATATGGTAATGATTAACGAGGTCTCTGTACGCTATGCGGGTAGAAATTGACCAAAAGGAATCTCTGAGGTGATTAGGTGAGTAAGTTACTGATGTTGGTTTATTTACACATGAAATACCTGGTGGTTGAACACTGTTATAACACCGGTCTAATGTACAGATGCAATGGTAATGTATACGTACCCATTCTCTATAAATGGGTAAGAGCGAGTGAGTATGGTTTTACGCCGCTTTTAGCCATATTCCAGCAATATGACGGCAGGGGACACCAGAAATGCGCTTCACACATTGTACCAATGTCGGGAATCGAACCTGGGTCTTCGGCGTGACGAGCGAACGCTTTAACCACGAGGCTACCCGACCGCCCCATAAATGGGTAAGAGAACAGCCATACTTACACGTGGCTATCTTGGTGTTAGTGTCATTTAAAAGGGTTGCCTGTGTGTCAGTGGCACACCCGAGCTCGTCAGTGGTGTTGATGGCTGAAAGACAGGTCTTCAGAGTGGTCAGTACACTGTTAGAAAAGGAAACATGAAAACGATTATTCTTCCCTCATAAAATGTCTTTTTGCAAAATTTCTTCCAACTTAAACGCATGTAAATGTCAGAGTGAATGAGTAAAGACTGATTCTCGCATTGTCAAAATCCAGGTAATATGGTGACGACAATAAGACACACATTCACAAACATGTTCAGTCCTAGATAGGTTAACAGGGATAGGTGTATCTACTCGGCGTTTACTAAAGTGACCTCCTTGTAAAAATCATAGTTTTTCTTCATATATTTCTGATACCTATTTAATAGATATACACGGGTGGGCCCACTAATTTCTGATATCTATTTTACTAGATATACACGGGTGGGCCCACTAATTTCTGATATCTATTTTACTAAACGGAAACGGAAAGTAATAGGTTGTAAGTGTGATCATTAATTTCATTATACATTGTATATTATAGGAAGGTCAATCGTTATCCTGAAGTGAAAACATGGAACATTCAGACTTCAGTTGATCTCCCGAACACCATTCCTCCACGAATCAATAAATGAGTATATGTAATTTATTTGATAGTGCAACTAAAATATTCTTTGGAATGTATAGTGTAAACCTTTTTGTTGATTGTACAAATATTCCTCGGTCCTTCTCTCATGACGTGACCATGGTACCCAAAGTTAGAAAACATGAACGTCTCAGACATCAGTTGATATCCCGAACACCTACCCTATACCATTATTTGTTTTGATAAGTGAAACTCTGTAAAATATTCTTTGCAATGCACAATGTAAGCCCTTTGATGATTTTCAAATATCCCTCGGTCCTTCTCTTATGCTGCGTGTATTCGTGATGTGGTACCCAAAGTTAGCATGCAAAATTAACATTCAGTTAATGATAATTACAATACCAAAAAGTATTGATGCCATGTTATGTCAGAGTACCCCCCGTTTTCATAACAAAATGCTATTAGAGACTCACAAGACCAGGGCCGTGAAAGCATTGGTATTCTGCAGAACCGGGAAAAACACTACGCTTTGACCCTAATATTAAAGGCATAAACTCCAAGGAACAAATACAGGTAGGTAGATTTACTCATACTGTGTCTGAAATGACATCCACTCACCTGGAAGTAAACAGTGCCGCTTACACAAATTGATTTTATTAACCACCGTGTTTTGACAATGAACTAACTTTAGCTTAACTCACGTGCACATTTTGGCATCACTGGCAATGTCTGCTTTAGTAGCATTAATCTCACATTGGCAGGTGGGGGTGACAGCTAAAAATAGATAACAAGATGATATTGAAAATATGAATGAGTCATCAAGATAATCTAAGCATAGTAAGTTTTTAAAAAATGGTTTGTGATTACGATGAAGCTACTTTTCGTTGCTATACTTATTGTAGGTATTCGTATATGTTTACGTGTAAGTCAACCTCAATGCCGTTCTGCTATTGGTGCAGCGCGGGATTAAATGATTCAATGTATGGTGAAATAATTAAGCTAGATGATTTTTTGAACATACGACAGGCTGTGCTTCCCAGATCTTTTATCCTGGTCTCTACGCCAGTAGCCAGAGCTGTTACAGTAGTGGAACCATCACAGGCCTTCTTTGTCTTCCACTTCAAGCACGCAATGTAAGCAGTGGTGGCGCTATGAATATTACAATGTCAACTTGACACATTTGTATTTGTTGACATAAATACTGTAAGAAAATACACGAGTGAACCCACTATTTTCTTATATCTATTTACTAGATACACAAGGGCAAACCCACTAATATCTGTTACCCATTTACTAGATATTCACGGGTGAACCCACTAATTTCTGTCACCTTTTTTACTAAATATACAAGGGCGAACCCACTAATTTCTGTCAACTATTTTACTAGATATACAAGGGCGAACCCACTAATTTCTGTCACCTATTTTACTAAATATACAAGGGCGAACCCACTAATTTCTGTCAACTATTTTACAAGATATATAAAGGCGAACCCATTAATTCCTGTCACCTATTTTACTAGATGTACAAGGGCGAACCAACTAATTTCTGTCAACTATTTTAATAGATACATAAGGGCGAACCCACTAATTTCTGTTATCTATTTAACTAGATATACACGGGTGAACCCACTAATTTCTGTCAACTATTTTAATAGATACATAAGGGCGAACCCACTAATTTCTGTTATCTATTTTACTGGATATAAAAGGACAAACCCACTGACTTCTGTTACCTATTTCACAAGATATACAAGCTCGAACCCACTATTTTCTGTCACCTATTTTACTAGATATATGTTATCACGAGTTTATATGTTATGAAAAGTGCCTTTCAACACCATCTCACCATCATGTTATATTAGCAGAATTGTCACTTTGTTTGAGATATCTAACAGCATAGAGTGATTACCTGCACTTGGTAGCATTAGTATTTTGATTCGTCTTCCAGAAGTCTTTCTGACATATACAGGTGTTCGTAAAATCTGCCTCTATAAAATAAAAAAAACATCACTCAAAGTACATTTCAAATCATTATGTGCCATCATCAACCTCTCAGACCTCGACCTCATCCTCCCTTCCTCGTTCACCTCCCAGGATGTGACTAAATATGTATACGTAGCATGCTTACACATGTACATAATATAAATAAAGCTACAAAACCCTTTCCATATCCAATAGAAATTTCTGCATAAAGCAGAGTCGATTGTACGATTCCGACTATATCATGAGCATGCGTTTACGAATCACTATCAAATAGTAATGATACCAGGTTTTCGCGAAAAGGTGAGCCACCAGTGGCACCCATCACAAACACATGAAAAAACATGGGTACATATGGTACAAGTCAAAATGGGGAAATGCATCGGACACCATTTTTGTCACCGATACGTCAAATTTGGAAATGTGCTCAAAATGTCTTTTGGTAGCTTTGAAAGCTTTACTGATGCCTTGAATGTTGTACGCTTGATCGAACAACTTCTGAGCAAGAGTTGTAAGACGCTCTTTGAAATCTTGGTAGAAAGAGTATGCTCGATTGTATCCCAGAAGTTGTGAAATGTAAACACCAAAGGCTGAAGCTGCTGGAATATTGCTCGATATGAAGGGGAGAGTGTTTTGTACTTCTGGGTCTTTATGAAACAGATGAAGTGGTCTCACTGGTCTCCTTTATTTTAATCAAGCAAGTATTAAGATTTATTATTTTGGTATATTAAAAAGCTACGCGATAAATCGCAAAGAAACATGAAGAACGAACGTGATTTATTTCACGATAAAACATTGTTCTATCATGACGTCGTTTCTGGACATTCGAAAATGCGCTTGCAACTTGACGGACGACGCTATTTTTTAGAGGGAACTGTCCAGTGAGTTGTCCCCCATAGATGTAGCTGGGCAACGCAGATAAACGCATTGGCCGAACGATCGCATCCGAAAGGGGGAGAGATATGACAATCGGTAATGGGAGATAAGTTACAGATAATCGTCGTGAAAATTGTGAGAATATCTGTGAAATACCAAACGTTACTCCTCTGTTCATAAAATGGACTTGTTCGACTGCCGGGGTCGAATTGTATACAGGAAGTTATTTACATTATTTAAATAAGGGTAAATATTTTTAATGATTGTACAATTTATGAGGTTATGAGGTTGTTCATAATGCTGATATCTTATATATGAAATAAACGACGAGTGGGAGTTGTTTATGGTACAATAAGATACTGCAGGGACGATTAAGCACTCGGGGCTCCGCCCCTTATGGTTCATTATCAATGTAGTTTTTTATTGTAAGATAAACAACTCCCAGTTATTGTTTATTTCTTAAATATTTTCACATACCCGTACTACAATTAGCTGAGGTGAAATCAGTCTCTATGGCGGCAGCATTTGCAGGTTGCAGCGGACACCCGTCGTCACCTTTCCCTGACCCCTCCAGACAGGTCAAATATGTCACAAGGGCACTGTAAAAGAAATAATATATTCGCATTTGAACACCACAATGTTCCCATGACAAGTATTTCAAATAGACATGTATCCCTTAACTATACATGATTATTGTTCATACGCGTCATCTGCTATTGGAAATCTCCAACTACTTTTAAAGGTAAATATGTGATATGTTACCCGCTATTTAACTGTCCTTCATCGACAGGCTTTTAATACACAAACAACTATGATATTTACTTTTCTATAACGTGGTTAAAATAATGCTGACAGTGCAATGCTGTGCATGGCACTATAATATCACAACAGGACAACTTGAAAAAACAAGATGTGACTATTATGGATGACCACAATTTACTGCTTTGTTTATCTCATGGATTGTCTACCAGTGTTTAACGCCATACAATGTTAACTTCGATGACTTTGCTGACTATGAGCTCAGTCTCATATATATGAGCTCATAGTCTTACCAAGTTGTGATCAGACCCTTGCGATAATACATGTTAACGTTTGCTGAATTCCCCTAAGGAACATTCAGTTCTTAATGATCACACGTGCTTTTGGTAGACATGTTGTTGGTTTTATGGCAAAAATGATATTTGTGAATCAGATATTAAATCGGAAGATAAAGTCATTAATAATCCTGGGTTTTAAAAAAAATATGTTTGTTTGTTAAGAAACTCCGCACCGAGCAATATTCCAGCCATTTTATGGTGGCCTGAAAATAGTCGAGTCAGGATCTGACAATCCAGGCCAATGTGAGCAACGGGAACAACGGGAGCAACATGCCACGCTGTCGGGGGACGATGTCTCACAATCAACCACGTCACCGAATTTATTTCGTCGCCTCACACATACCGAGGGATCCCCACATGGTGATATACATGATGTGCGATATCTGATCACCAAGAAACAGTGAACGGTTTGTGAGTTCCGGAAACAACCACTAATCTCATTTGAAGTCGAATTTGTTACTGACCCGTGCCAAAATAAATGCTCTGAAATACATTTCCCTCATGATGACTGCATGTATGTTAGATCCGGGGAAGAATAGTCTTCAGCAACCCATGCTTGTCGTAAGAGGCGCCTATGCTTGACGTAAGAGGTGACTAACGGGATCGGGTGGTCAGGCTCGCTGACTTGGCTGATGCATGTCATCGTATCCCAATTGCATTAATCGATGCTCATGATGTCAATCACTGGAATGTCTGGACCAGACTCGATTATTTACAGACCGCCGTCATCTGGGTGTAATATTGCCGAGTGCGGCGTTAAACAACAAACAAACATTCAAGTCTTTCAAGACGACCATGCTCCGGTTAATATAGCAACTAGTATTAAAAAAAACTTCATTGTCGTCACTGACATCAATACGAACAGGATGTGATCGAACATGTATTGCTTAAATTGCAAAGTAAAATACAAGAGCTCGTCAGTGACATTACCACGGTTGATAAGTTGTTCGAGATGATACATACAGCCTGGCTTGTAAATGAGTTTGACTTTTGTCTAGGACTGTACAATTCAATTCCACGTAGGATGGCGCAAGTTTTGGTTATGAAGGGCCTTCAACAAATGAGGAAAAACTGTTTTCTGTTGATATAATAACATTTTAAAGCGGACTGTAACCGAACAGCCACTGTATTAAATCATACGATTATAATCGACAAGAGTCTTTACCTTGCAAACGCAAAATAAAATGTGTATTAGTTTTAAAAAATCCTGAATAGTACATGGCACCAGTAACGGTGCAGCATTTGCCTAATGTGCATACAACATTTCAAGACAAATGACCAGTTGACCAGTGCATGGTTTATAAGCTACAGAAACGCCCCATAACCCAATTTGACCCTAAGTGCATCTCGCAACAATGAAAAATTAAATTATTATAACTCTTTAATTGGAAAGTCACCAGTTCAGTGGATGCCCGATGTGCAAACAAAATATTGAACGGTTTCTGAGTTAATGCTCCGGAAAAGAAACATGACGGACAGTATGTGACAATATCAATTAGATATATTATGACTTACGTGCATTTCTGTGCATTATTAGTGGCATTATCTCCAGCAGACGTATACGTACTTCCACAAACATCACAGGTAGTTGCAAACGTTTTATGGCTGTAACCTGAGAACAAAACGAAAGTGAATTTAGTCGTGAAAGGATGCCTCCAAACCGCAGGTGGAAAGAGAGAGAGGGAAATGGGGACAGAGAGCGGAAAGAGCTAGAAAGACACAGAGAAGATGGAGAGAGACTAAGAGAGAGAGAGGGAGATTGACAGAGAGATAGAGACAGGGGAGGTCGAAAGAGGGAAAGAGAGAGAGTGGAAAGAGCTAGAGAGACAGAGAGAAGATGGAGAGAGACTAAGAGAGAGAGAGGGAGATTGACAGAGAGAGGGAGACAGGGGAGGTGGAAAGAAAGTGGAAAGAGCTAGAGAGACAGAGAGAGGGAGATAGAGAGAGAGAAGTAGGAAGGCCTTACGCGAGGTTACTGGGGACCAAACAAGGTGTCCCAAGGGATGACATGCAAAATGAGTCCGGAGTTGTGAAAGACATTCATTATTTCCTCCAGATGTCATTACGAAGATTACAATGAAAATATATTCCATTTCACGTGGCGTACACGATAAAATGAAGAGGCATAACATATTTACAATTCCACACAAGTTAAATATATCTGTGAACAAAAGCTACAAAACCCTTTCCATATTCATATGAAATTATCTGCCAAAAACGGAGTCGATTGTACGATACCGACTTTATCATGAGCATGTGTTCATGTGATGATACAAGTTGTTTGCCAAAAGATGTTTCAGTTTGTACAGATGTGAGGCTATTGTTGTATGACAGCTCCCCACACATGTTGGCCCGTAAATTCTGTTTCATACTCGAGTATGAAATTTCTAAATCAACATATGTTTGAACATCAAATAAAAGAAAAATGCATTTCTATCTGAAAGCGTTTCACAATGAAAATAATGTGTCTGTCGTTGTCGAAAGCATGCTTATTACAGAGTTTGCATTCTTTGCAAGTTTACTGCTTGGTGAGACTTTCACACAATGTTATAAAGAAGGTCGTTATTCCGGATGCACAAAGCTAATTGCAAAAGTATATTTGTTTGTTAATGTCATATGAATTCTCTTGTAACGGGACATGCCTTTGTTATTTGATACATTTGTGAGCCATAATAGTTCTTCGTATTTGCATATAGTCACATTAACAAGATTGCTCCATTTTAATTTTGGAGAGAAAGTATCGTATGGAACAAAGGTAGATAACCCTAACTGTATTTGTCAAGTGTTGATATAAGTTCTCCACATATTGTCTTTGATTTGACAGGGCTTGCAATATATTTTTGCAGAGTTTTTACAGTTCAGGATGTATAAACGACGAAGAAATAAAATTGTGAATTTATCAATATATGCAGTTGGTTTGCTATCCAAAGTCCAAGAATCGCTATATTGGAATCTATTGCATAACCACCCTATTCTATCGAATGCTTTTTTCATTATCAAAGAAAGCAGCATAGACACCGGAGTCCCTTTGTATGTAATAATAATAATGATAATGATAATAAATTTATATGCATTTGTATAGCGCAGCATTCACTGTGCATTAGTGCTCTGTGCGCTAATTCTGAATGCCTTCGATCAAAGTAAATTCTGACATAATAGTTCAGTGTTCCTTTCTAAAACCAAACAGTTATTGTCTTCTATAGGTTTGAGCAGTAATATTTCAAAGAACTTACCAAAACATGATGTTAAAGTAATACCTCTATAATACCAATGATTAGATTTCCCATTCTTCCCCTTATGTACTCAACAACAAAAGTTCCTGTTTTTCAAACAAGTAAAGTTTGGTTTTCAATATTGTAGCACATGTATGAAATTAAGTCACAAAAACGCAACTGCTACAGAAAAGCATGCATTCCATGCAAAAGTTGACTTTTATGCAAGCCCCATGCATTTCACTTCCCAAAAATGGGTAAAGAAACATGTGCGTTAACGGGATTCCATATGCATTGTTTAGCATCGTGCTGACAACAACCACTCAGAAAAACAACAAAATTACGCAATTATTCAACATTACGAAATGCCACGCCTGTCCGAAATTCAGCGTCTGCGTGCCATTGGTATGCTTGAAGCAGGATCGAGTCAACGTGATGTTGCAAGACAATTTAACATCCACAGAAACACCATTTGGTGTTTATGGCAACGTTGGCAACAGACGAATGCAGTCAGAGACCATCCTCTGAGTGGCAGGCCACGAGTAACCAATACTCGACATTCGAACAACACACCTACGAAATCGATTCCAGCCAACAACAGTGACTGCAAGAGGCATCCCTGGCCTTCGACGAATATCTTCACAAACCGTACGTCGTCGCCTCAGATGTGCAGGGATTGTCGCCAGAAGACCCGCCAGACGTCCCATTTTGACAGAAAACCACCGTTAAGCACGTCTACAGTGGTGCAGACAGCGTCTACGCTGGACGGCAATGCAGTGGGAATAAGTTATTGGATTACAGCAAGACAGAGGACCCGTTTGATAGTGGTAGAGGGAAAACTCAATAGACAGCGCTACCGCGGCAAGATCATCGGCCCTGTTGTTCTACCGTTTTGCGTCGTCATGGCCCAGGCATTACCTTTCAACATGACAACGCCCGGTCTCATATTGCTCGACTTGTTCAGAATCCTCTTCAACAAAACAACGTGAATGTCATCCCCTGGCCGGCTCGCTCCCCTGATCTCTCACCAATCGAGGACGTGTGGGATGAGATGGATCGGCGCCTTCGACGTCAACCACGTGTTCCACAGACACATCAGGAACTTCGAAACATGCTCCAGCAGATATGGACAGATATCCCACAGGACTTTGTGCGACGCCTGGCCAATTCCATGAGTGAGTGAGTGAGTGAGTATAGTTTTACGCCGCTTTTAGCAATATTCCAGCAATATCACGACGGGGGACACCAGAAATCGACCCCGGGTCTTCGGCGTGACGAGCGAACGCTTTAACCACTAGGCTACCCGACCGCCCCCATTCCATGAGACGAAGATGTGTTGCTTGCATCGCAACCAGAGGTGGACACACACGCTATTGATTTGTAAATTGACATTTTGGCATGTTCATATTTTTTTTTATGAAATCACGCATTTTCTGAAGTCAGTATGGCAAATTAAACCATTTGAACACGTACATGAGTCTTTTATCTTTTGCAAACCGAAATTGTTCCGATTTGGTAAAAGAACATAACTTTGCATTAAATCTTTTTCAATGTCACAGGAACTTTTGTTCTCCAGTATATATTGGTATAACCATGCCAAGTCTATTATCATAAGGTACCTGTTGCGGTTTTATCACATGATTAAAAAGAATACATAAGGAATAAATAAGATGGTTTTTTTCTGCATGAATAATATGTTATTTTGTAATCTCACCCGGACCTGGGTATTTATTCCTGCTGGCGGATTTGACCCGTGAAGATCAGGGGTAGAATAGGTCTTCAACAACCCATGCTTGCCGTAAAAGGCGACTTTGTTTGTCGTAAAAGGCGACTGACGGGATCGGGTGGTCAGGCTCGCTGACTTGGTTAACGTATGTCATCGTTCCCAATTGCGTGGATCGATGCCCATGATGTTAATCACTGGGTTGTCTGGTCCAGACTCGATTATTTTACAGACCGCCGTCATATAGATGAAATATTCGTGAGCAATGAGAGTTAATTCTTTTTGCAATTCCCCGTCAGGCCTTTCTCGTATCTTTTTTAAATATCTGTACCTTACAAGATATGTCTTATTTAAATACCTATTAGAATCAAATCTTTCAGAATGATAGGGTTTGGCAAAATCTGAAAAATATGTACCCCCTAATGTAGATATAAGGGTGTGGAGCCACTTTCATTCTTATAGTTAACAATATCTATGTCATACTCGTTTTCTAAAAAAAATCTAAAAAGAATTTATATCAATTGACCTCTCAATTTCCCTTAGGGTTTATTTTCGTTGGACCTTTATGATTTTCGATACTGACGTTTGAAGCGTCTCTTTTAAGTTTTATACGAGATGCGCAAATCTAAGTTTTAGTCTCTGCGTTACCGTTTTTCAGCCATTATCGTCGAACAACCCTCATACAGTAATGTGCATCATTAACTCAATCAGGTTTTCAAAATGGTTGAAGATGAAGTTTATATTCACATTTGGGGACACATTTAGACTTTGCAAGTAAAGGCTTTTACTAAGATACTGGCCCTTGAAGATCAGGTGTAGAATAGGTCTTCAGAAACCCATGCTTGCCGTAAAAGGCGACTATGCTTGTCGTAAGGCGACTAACGGGATCGGGTGGTCAGGCTCGCTGACTTGGTTGATGCATGTCAATTGCGTGGATCGATGCTCATGATATCAATCACTGGATTGTCTGGTCCAGACCCGATTATTTACAGACCGCCGTCATATAGCGGGAATATTGCTTAGTGCGGCGTTAAAAAAACAAACAAACAAACAATCCAACTGAAGTGATCTATGTAATATCATAATGTAGTCGATTACGTTCTGTTATTGTAACAATTACTTATCACAACACTCTGAACCGAAGGTGTCTATTATTTGGTTAACTGGGCTGAAACCCAAACCGATGGCGAAGCCAGTACAAGCGGTGAGGTTAATGCTAAATGTACATGTATGCTATATAGTCATATGGTAGTACAACAATACTACATTGTATTCAGCACGGTTATGTTTTTGAGTGTATTTTCAAATAAGGGCAAATGAGTTAAAAGGAGTATATAATTATAGATACTGGATGAACCACACATTTTTCTATGTATGTAATCTTGGATATATATACACATATATATTAACGCCTGTTACCGTTCTAAAACCATCAACTCATGAAACCTGTATATTGTCTGTTGTATCAAATTTGCATTAACAACATCAAGTACAGCAATTTAAACTGCTGCAACACCCAGACACTAGGCTGTTATCAAACATAAGTGTAAACACGCGATGTATCATTAAACCTGTATCGTGAGAAGTTCCAAAACACATTTTATTTCAGATGTATTTAGTAAAGCTTGAGCTAACTCACTGGTAGAACTTAGACATTGCCGCTGACATAAGTGTCATTTATTGAATGTTGATGACAAGCACATGTATATAAACTACGTTTTCAGTGAAGAAATATCACTAATACACGATTATCAACCTTGTTTTCACATGTATACGAATCTTTTTCGCGTACACCTGGAACTACCATTATTCGATATTGATGCATAAGCTCATGATTCAGGCCACAGAATACACTTTTAATGCAAATTGTGTAAGGGGCGGGCGCTACCGCGAGTTCAGGACATGCTTACCATTTTCGCGAACACCTGGTATCACTAATTTCAGTGAACCATTCATATAATGTCACCGCTATTTTGCCTTTTATGCCCAATGGAATATACGGGACTGTTTTTTCTCTGGCGTTGACGTTCTATATTTTCTTGAACAGGGTCGATGTTTCTGCTGGTTGTCTGAAGCTTAGGATCATTTATCAGTTATGCTGAGTCAACTACAAACAAAGTATGTGATCTGAGATATTTAAACTATGTTTGCAAGTCTTATAATAGTTTAGCAAGTCTAGATGTCGTCAATCAAGTCATACAAACGACTTGCTTCTATCATATTTCAAGAGATTTTGTGTATTATTTTCATTTCAGAGACTCAACTAAAGTGGACGTCGTTGCGTTTAAGCTAAAATGCCATGATAACCAGGCCCATGTGGCTGGTCCATGTGACGCAACCTTCGGCTAGCGTAATATGAAACGATGAACGTTCGCTCACTTTTTGTTAGTTCCCGACGATCTTCATAATATTAATGGTAAGAAACAGTGCTTTGCAACGGAGATCTACAGTATTTGTGCGATTTGTGTGAGAGTCAAAAATGTTTAATTTAATGGCATTACATAGAACTACTCAGTGTGCAAAAACAATACATGCTCTTGAAAAAGTATATGACGGCGGTGTGCAAATAATCGATTTTGGAACAGAAAATTCAATGATTGATATCATGAGCATCGATCCACGCAATTGGGATCGATGACAGGCATCAACCAAGGCAGCGAGCCTGACCACCCGATCCCGTTAGTCGCCTCTTACGACAAACAAAGTCGCCTTTTACGGCAAGCATGGGTCTCTGAAGACCTATTCTACCCCTGATCTTCACGGGTCCTTGAAAAATTACGGGATCATGAAATATAAATGGTAATAACAAGTATTAGAACGAAGAAAAGTGTTGACGACAAATATCATATGAAAGAACGTTAATGTCTGTAAAACTTAACACCAAAATACATCCTTTAGTGTGTCATTCCTGATTTTGACACATTCAAGGAACGTCGATTAATCTCTGTAGACCATTATTTCTGCAGCATCATGAATGAGATAACAAACGAAATCGTACATGTGCTTGTCGATGCTGCACGTGCAACATTCAGGTCGAGACCTTGTTTCCGGCGTAATGCGCACGCTCCTACTGAGAGAAAGCAAGAACCTTGGTTCGGCCACGAATGTAAAAATCATAGGAACTACTTCCGTAAGGCTAAACAGAAAGTTAAAAAAACTAACACAATCTAAGCAATCTAAGGCATATATACATATAAAGAAACATAGAAACGATTTATGCCATCTATTTAGAGCCAATTGAAAACAGATTCCACGTAAATTTTGGAAGGCTCTTATCAAGAATAAGAGTAAGGTGAATAACATTAAGCCTGATATCGAGACATTTATGAAAACTATAAAGTTATAAACAAAGACATGAATACACACACACTTATTGATGAAGAATCTACAAATACTACCATGCACGATGATCAAATGCTCAATAGTGATATCACAATAGAAGAAATACGTAAAGCTGTAAAAAGCTTGAAAAATAGCAAAGCTTTTGGTATAGATCTCCATGTAATTGGGTATATAATAAGCCCCTTAGAATTATTAGCACCCGTATATATTCATAACTTTAATGCCGTGTTCACTACCGGAAACATACCAGATGCATACCTAACCGGTGTGATCAAGTGTAACCAAAAAAGGTAACCCACACAAGGGAAAATTCCAATATATACAAAATATACAATTTTGTATAGATGGTATATCCAAAAATATACAATTTTGTATATATGGGTACATTTTACCACTGCTTCAATCAGTTTCTTCTTACCCCAGACATAAATTCTCACAATATGTGGTTGATATTGAAAATATTACTAATAATACCGGACAGTATTATTGCATGGGACAATAATACTTTAAAACTAGGTTCATTGTGACAACTATATTTGGAGTGTTATGAAATAATTGGCATTTATTCATGTTGACAGCATTTTACACAACAAAGAAATAGAACAATTGAGCAGACTTTTGTAACAGTTAGATATATAATACGTACTTCTACTGTTTACAAATAAAATGGTCTATACAAACAAGTAGTTCAGAGTAGTTTTAAACAATGACGGTAAAATAAATATGCCATGACTAGCGGCAAATATGAATATATACAATTTAATCTATATATATTCTGATATGTCATTGTATGGTGATTCTAAATCTAAAATTTTGCTTGATATTATTTGACAAACAGTTGTATGCACTGTCCATCATGATACTTCTACTTAAGTATATAAAAAGGGATGTTAGTTTAGTCAATTGACATGCGTTCATTGTAAACAAGGATTAGTGTGACATGATAACTAAGTTTTCATCAAGTACAATGCACTTCCGCGATTAGCATAATTAGGACAGAGTTTGTTATTAGTTATATCCGGACTCCAGTAAACCAAGGCAGCTAGCATCAGTGGAGAGTGTGAGCAACTGAAGAGAGGCGAGCAACTCAACGTGATTTATGATTTTGTTGAATCTTAATAAATAAACGAACGACTGTCACAAATATGCAGTCGAACATTGAACACACAGAATCTCGGATTTTCTATCCTACATTTGCGAGTAAACGTGAACGAAGCCGTGCAGGAAGCCTTACAGAGATTTGACTTCAGAACACACAGTGAGCTCAGGTAAGTTTATAATGATGATATGTTCATTCATTCGTGCAATAGATAGGACAATCATGAGCGCTGACTCTATATGTGTTCGCAATAGAACATTTGGAAGAAATAAATATTCTTGTTCAACATGGCTCAGAAATTCAGATATAAGCTGCGAAAATCGTGATCTACTCTGCTTTGTCAGGCGACAACCCTGTGACACCAGCACCTTTTGGAAGGATAACTAGATGGCCCACTGACAACTGTGATCACAGATCTTAACCCGATGGATCACGACTGGGACATCCTTGACAACACGATACGGAAGTGGGACACACACAGGAGTTGCACCGACCATGCAACAACATTTTAATAAACGTGCCTTACCCCGCACTTACAAACAATCAAGTCTGGACCAAACAAACCAGTGATTGATACTATACACAATGATCCAAGTTGTTGGGATATAACGCCACTGAATCAACCAAAGTCACCGAGATTGACCATGTGGTTCTTTAAAGTAATTGCCAGTGTGTAAGGTGTGAAAACGCCATGTAAGTTCATAGACCAGAATAGCTTCGCGTGACAAGCAACATGCTATATTTTGTAAATTATTGCTTCTGAATGTCTGCCCTAAAATATCTGGAAAGACTTAACCACTTAATTTGAATGCAATGTGTATGCTCTAAAGAATCTAGTAAGGAACTAGTAGATTAGATTGCTCGACACGAAGGGGGAACTTCACGATTGTAAATTCGAAATCATCCCTCTTGACATACAGCTTGGCGCATGGGTTCGAATCTCGAATTCGCCCCGGTGGCCCAGTCGTCTAAGGCTCTGAAATTCGCTGTGCAGAGTTGCGTCCCTTGGACACGCCAGAAACCTATAATTGTGGGTTCGAATCCTGGTTCGCCCCGATTATATTTCTAGGTTTGCCAGCACCATACCCGTGCTCGTAGGTTTCATAGAAGTGGTAAACGTCTAAGACCTGCATCACTTCGGGCTTTCCTCCCACATTAAGCTGACAGGCCGTGATATAACTGGAATAGTGTTATATACACTAACAAAAATGGTAAACGTCTGGATCCTGCATTCGGGTTTCCGCTCATGTCAAACTGACACGGCATCTAGTAACTGAAAAACTTAGAGTTTAAGCGAGACTACACGTCGAATGTTGGCGTCTCGGAGAACCACTAAGGCAATATTCAACTTAGCAAAACGTGTATACTTTGTACTTCTACCGGAATGCTGATTACAACTATCTATTCTTTCAGAACCACATAAGACCCGTGAACATCCGAAGTAGAATATGTCTTCAGCAACCCAGGCTTGCCGTAGGAGGCGACTATGTTGTAAGAGGCGGCTAAAGGGATCGGGTGGTCAGGCTCGCTGACATGTTTTGAAAAATGATCTCAATTGCGTAGATCGATGCTCATGATATCAATATTTTATCACTGGATCATATAGGTGGAATATGTCTGAGTGTGGCGTAAAACAACCAACCAACCAACCAAAACCATATAAAATCGTATCACTTTGAATTCTTGAATAAGCAAATGTGACTTCAATGACAAGAAACGGGAACATTGTAAGTAGACACTATTTCTAAGGATGTTTACACTGCAAGGTCAGCAGGACTCAGGACACAAAATAACAGTATTACCCCTCTAAGTAGGTTCACTTCATTAGTATATGCTTTTATAAACCTAATATGAACACTCTTTGAAGAATTGTCCGAAGAGGAAATATATAAGAGGCATTAGCATGTTCTCATATACCTACAGTACCGTCCCGATGCTATTTCTGACAACGTGTTGATCTCACAAGATAATATATTTAACCTTTTAAACCTTACACTGACTGATCACATGATCATATTTCGCTTCAACTCATCATACTTCGTTCACCGTCATGACCGATGTGAACAATGGTTCATTACTTAAAGAAAAAGCGACGAAGATTATGAAATAAGTATGGCGTAAAAGAGAGTATGGCATTGTGATAACAATTGTAGGTCTTGAAAAACAAACATAACAAGTAGATTTCGTGAACAGTACCGTTTATTTCAGCGGAACAATCAACAATGATTAACTCAACACGTCATAAGGGTGCGGAACACGTGGGTTGAGTCATGTGAGTATCCCACATATTTTTACGATCGGAACAGCAGCAGAGCTGTAGACTTTATCAAAACCGGAACCAAAGATGTCCTTTCAGATATATCACAGGATTAGTATGACCACATATTGTTCGTCAGTGGTTACATGAATTATGTATGGCCCACGTCATACTTTGCGGTCATACAAGCATTTCCTTTTTTCAAAAGCCTCATTGAAAATAGCTTCATGTCGATAATCAAATAAGTCAACCCGTTTTCATTGACAATTTAACCCGAATATAGGAAAACTTATGTTGGTAATAAAAATCAAAAGTGACGACAAATAGAAAATTCAAATAAGACACTCATTGCCGTCCTTCCACAATATGTCACATCTACATGTAGAAGAGCTCAGAACTAACAGGAGTCTCAAAGTGCCAGCATTGCGGGCGGTTACAGGAACATGTTTACAAGAACTGAAACGATCAGTGACGTCATCGCAAAGGTCGCGTGATCCGCAACAGCCCCACCTGCAACGAAAAATACCAAAACATCATTTCTTGAAAATAAAACATATGCTGAGATTCATTAATGAAATATGTAACGAGTACTGTGTACGTTATATGCTTCTAAACTAACTCAAAGGACATAATCTTAATTAGTTTCATATTAATACAAAAGTGATACTTGTGATTTTGGTGTGTATCACACGAAATATCGCACGAGCAAGATGGCTGAACCCGGACATAATTCGGGTCTAGTGTAGGGTTAAAGAAGTGATGTACACACTCCTAGAAATGCATGGAATTAGGAACAACACTTACATGTGGCTGCGGTTATCTTGGTGTTGGTGTCAGTCAGAAGATCTTCCTGGGTTGTGGCAGTACACCCTGCCTCGGTAGTGGTGTTGATAGCAGAGAGGCAGGTTTTCAGTGTAGTCAGGACACTTTAAGACATAAGTGTTTGAAAACATATTATTCTCCTCACTTCAAATAATAACCACTCCAATCTTTCAGGTATGGAAATGTCAGAGTGAACGAGGAAAACTGAAACGTCGACAGAGTCGTATGGCAGCATATATAAACGCGGAACCACTAAAATGGCCTAAGTTATTTCAAGTAGATCCTGGTCGCGAGTTTATTGGATCAGTAACTAAACTGTCAACAAAGCACGATGTCGCAATCAGTCATGGTGAAAAAGAGGCCCACCGTAGTCAATCTATCGTTGAAAGATTTAACCGGACATTAGCAGAACGTTTGTTTGGATATCAGTATGGGATTGAAATGAAATCGAAACGATTAAGATCAACCGAATGGGTGATATGATTATCAGATGTTGTATCATCGCTGAATAATGAAGTAACGAGATTAATCGGGAAGAAACCATCTGATGTGATTAAAATGAAATCTATGACTTCCGAATCTTCAGCACCGAGGAGAGGCAAAGAACAAAAACTTCCGGATAGAGTAAGCGTAAGATATTTATACCAGCCCGGTGAACTCGAAGGAGGTGAACGTCACGCAACCGATCCGATTTGGTCCCTTAAGATATTTAACATTAGTCTATTGGTTACGAAAGAAGGAGAGCCTATTCTTTATTATCTTAAAGATGGACCCGGCAGGGGATTTGTACGTGAAGAGTTGCTCATAGTTCCCAACGATACAGTATTACCACCATAACCATAAGCGTAGGTAGTTACACCATCATTATCAATCCATCTCTTTGTATCTAAGGGGGATAATGATGTCTTGTTCATTCTTAATCCATATATCCTATGATTGACACTTCTTAAAGTGTTCATCTCGTGTTTGAATGTTCTACCATTGAATAATGATTCTTTATACTGTTCGTGTTTAATATGCTTTTTTACCACATACTTCTTAACACCCTTAGCTTTTCTTATCTCCCCATTATCTGACTTCTTTATAGAATACATCTTAGGTCTTAATCCGACATACTCCACTATAGGGATCCCAGCACATTCATCCTTCATCTTACTTAACACCTTTTTATTTACTATGCTGTGCTGTGGATTATCTTTTGGGTAATCGCTAGTGTCGTACATATCTATTTTTTCAACCATATCTTTTTACACATCCTTGGTTTGTATTTCCATCAACAAAGAATCTGTGTCGGTATATTACATCTCGCATCTATCGCCGTATTGCTTCTTAAGATCGTTGTAATAAAAGTCATACATTAAGTGTTTTGACAAGTTAAAAATACTCATACCAACGTACACTGGTCTGTAGAATTTTATATTACTCTTATTCATATGTAGTGGAGCTAAGTCTTTATCAAATATCTTGCTTCTGTTAAAAGCCGGACTGGCTATAAGTTTCCTGAGTCTTTCTTCCTCATTAGATCTGACTAATTTAACATCAACACGCTTCCATAGATTCTCCATAGTTTTACAAAATACTGAGTTATTCATGAGCTTACATAGGTTCTTTTCGAAATCACTGGTAGCCATCTTTCTTAAATCTGTGTTCAGCCATATATAGGGCTCCATCAAAGGGCTTTGATCAAACTTTAGAACTCTGTGTATTTTCTTTAGTTTCATACCTAACGATAGATATAACTGGAGATTTCTGTAGTGAACTATATATTTTGTCTTATCCATCAAATTTGGTACGAGTTTTTCTACGTTAGCTAACCTAACTCCTATCAAGGTGTGTTGATATTCCGACATCCAATCTTTATTAGCCATTAATCTTTGGGGAGCTAGCGGATAACTGTTATTGTCTTTATGTAACTCTGTTGGATATTTCAAGTCAACTTCTAGTACGTACCCTTTATTCGCATCGACCTCATGAATATCATTCACATCGATATCATTCACATCGACCCACTCAAAACCACCCGTGGGTAAAGGTTGACTCATAGCCCATCCGTACAAATTGTTGGCGTCGAGATATAATATATGTGTGTCGGGTTTACTCCAATCATATCTTTCCACTAATTTATTATTAGCCTTAGAATACCTTTCTATATATACCATATACCATCTCTTAATCCTTTCTCAATAAACAAGTGCATCTTGTAATAGGTGAGTAATTTTAGTTTTTACATCAGTCTTCTTCAACAATGCATCCCACGATAGTCCGGGACTGGAATAGTACCATGCCGGATCCAAGCCGTATTGTTTTAAACATGTCTTTCTAAATATCTCGAATATATCGGCGAGTTTTTTAAGTACAGATCGTGATAATCACCTAAATTCTTACAACCTAGTTTATCCCACACCGTTAGAGCATGTTCATAATCGGCACCGGTTATTTTATTACTATAGAATGATTCAAGGGGTGGTAATTTAGTGTCTTCGAATCTAGACCAATCATCCATATATTCGTAAGGATATACACCTTTTCTTAGCAACAAATGCTGTTCTGACGATGTGGAATATTGATTTGTTATTGCAAAGTCATCGGGATTGTTCTCATAAGCTTAATTGTCCAGGGAAGATAAGAGAAACTGTAAGGAGTCTATGAATCTAAGTCCATTACATTGCTTTATTCTGGCTTTCCCATCCTTGTCCATATAATGTATAATTTTAGTCAAAGAGAATGATATGTATTTTTCAATATTATTAGGAATGCGCGTTAAGCCGCCGTCGGTCTTTGAGATAGCTTGCATATTGAGACGAGAATCATATCCCCTAAGGTTATGAAACACAACGGGGATGGGTACTGTTTGAGAATTCATTTTAAGTTTCAAGTTACACTCGTTATGCACCGCTCCCCAATAATTACCCGTGACGTGGCAATGATCTCTTACAGAATCCCCATTCAGGGAGTTATTGCAAACTCATATTGACAACTCATTGACTTCTTATAGGCCCTCAAATCATCCCTCGTCATACATATGGGTTTCTTACACGATAGATGTTCCCTAATTATTCTCTCTTCATTTTGTAGATATTCTATGAACTTTCCCGCTGCATCGGGACCTCTGTAAATCACGGGCGGGTTTGTTTTCCCATCATACCTTACAACTATATATCCAAACCCACAAGGAATATGTTCTTGAGTTTTGTATGTAAAACTATCTTGATTGCTTTATTCAGTATTTTCTATAGGTTTGATAAGTGCTTCGAAGTCAGTGTAAATTATGTACAGTACTGGCATTTGATTACAGTAGTGTTCAAATTTTAGTATATTTTTTCCCTCTTTAGGCATATCAATCCTGACAGCAGTCTGTCCAACACCTCTGCACTCTTCTTTATGCGCTTCTAATAGATCTTGTCTGCTTTACCCATGCAGGCATCTTTCGCCGAAATATTTCTTTCCCTTATGTTTTGTTTGATCGTATAATAGTCTGCTTAAACTCATATAATGATATAATGATATTTCTGTGCTATTGTCTGCGTTACTTTTACTCAATGACATTTTAACCGCTAGCTGGTATTTTATACTATTTAAATTTGCTCGATATGATGGACTTAACATCATTAACATCCATGGTGGAATTAATATCCATCTTCCAACCTCTTAGATACTTAAGAATGCCAGCTGTGGGTACAAATTTTAACTCAACTGATTGATTATTTTTATCATCTGGTTGATTTTATCAACATTCAGTAGAGTGATCAATTCAGATTTTCTCATTCGAGAATAACCACCTCTCATCCCACTTTTTTTCGCCTGAGCTTTAAGTTCTCTGACAGTCTGGGGTTTGTTGTATTCAAAATCGAGTAAATCAATCAATTCAGCTTTTTCTCATAATATCAGAATATCCATGTAGACCACGTTGTTTTGACAAAGCCTTCAACTCTCTGACAAAAACAATTGTGATTTAATGGTATATGCAAAATGAGTTAAATCTCTAAATGGTTGTTTTTCATATATCTAAACACGTATTCTCCCCTACCTATTCCTCCTGTTGATGTAATCTCTCTTCATAGCGTAAAAAATATGGTTCCTGACCCTATCAGCGCCGTGTTTCTTACAAAAACAATAACGACCTTTGACCCCTATCCTACATACAGAACAAATGTAATTCATATTTCCTTGCCTGATGTAATAAGAATGGACTCCGCAGTATATACCAACACAACGTTGGCTGCATTGAATTGGCTTCCCAATGAGTGTAAATCTGCACAGATTCATGGTTATACATTTATCATATCATTTGTCTTAATGCAAATCACATCTCCACTGATGAGTCATAGCTGTCCTCGCTATTTATAGCTAAGCAGTCAGGGTTATTAATAGCTGAGTAGTCAGGGTTATCAATAGCTGATAAGACTCAGCCTGACATAGTGTGTTGATACGCAATAGGTCATGGCTTATGCATAATAGCATAGCTAAATATAGACACACCAGTCAATCCCAACATTATAAATACTATCTCTCGGTCTTTCTGAGCCTCTGACGGTGTATAAAACTGACTTATTGTTGGTCTCGGTATTGAGTCAAGTTTCCTTCCATAAACAAGGAAGTATTCGTGCATAGCAGATTCAACATCCTTAAACGTTTGAATTGAATGCCCCTCTTTACGCAGTTCATCATTAATAAAATCTTATTTTAACATCCTATTTCTGGCCCATTGTAACTTGGCTGTTTCGAGTTGTTCTAATGCTTTACTATGTCGTTTACACTCCTCTTCAACTTCCCTCTTCCCTCAGAGTAGAAAATAAAAAAATTACTCCCCGAAAAAGCTAAAGCATTAACAATAGCTCCACCGACCATCATCGCAATTGTTGCCATATTCAAATGTTCAATAATATAAAATATTCGAATGTTTAATTACTTCATAATGTCTTCTGGGATAAGCCCTTGTTTGATGAGCATATCTTTTGTTGCCATTGCCAATGCTATATCAAGTATCATCATACCGATATCATAACCATTAAAATCTAGCTTGGGTGGTGTGGCTTTAGTAATCATTTTAGCTATACGGGCATAGCCAATGGCCAAGCCGCTGACCATCACTGAATGATACGTT